CCGATCCGGGAATCAAACGCAGGGCTTGGCTTCTATGGGCGCAGGCAGGATGCCTGTTGAGGCAGTGCGGACCCGTTCCCGGAGGAATTGATGGGGGATCGGGCCCCGTTTCAGGGCCAGAATGCAAGCTTCCCCGCTGGCACATGCAGCATTCAATTTCCTGTACTTGTTCGAGCGGAGAAGAGCTGAGAAGTCTCATTTATACCATCCCATCTCTCCTCTGAAATACACGAGGGGACTCAGATATAGGAAAGGTGACACCCCCCCGGGCGGGGGGAGGTCTCCCGTCCCCTTTCCTCCTTGCAAGTGCCTTCCAAGGCGGCTCCAGTGGGGAGAGGAGGTTGTATGTGGCAAGCCTTTTTCTCACCAGTAATCCTTGACATTGATCCCTTTTTTAGTATTATGCACTATTACGTAACACACTTCCAGTACGATGAATATTTTCTGTACTGGAGAGAGAATAAGCTGAGCGATTCTTGTGGCTTGCACTTTTGTGGAGGTCCGAGTCGTTTTTGGGAGGAACCCCGGGAAGGGCCAAAATGGATAGAGGGGAGCAAACACTCACACGCGGGTCATTATCTTGAAAAAGAGTTGGAATGGCCAGTTTTGAACAGATGCTGTTGTTCTGATCAGAGTCCACATTGGAAAGCTGACTTAGCATTCCCTCTTTATGACACTGTTAGCTTTCGTATAGATCGTATCTTCCTTTGGCCAGCGGGCCTGGGGGGCCCATGCTGTCAAAATTTTCTGTTTGCCATCTCAAGGACCGTCGCTGAGAGATATTTCTGGTGCGACGTTTCTGGCTACGGAAGAGAACGCGGGAGTAAGTACATCCATGTTCCATCTCTCTCTTCATGTAAAGGGCGGCTTGATGGCCTGTGGCAGCGTCGTTCTCCTGAAGCTAGAGCCGCCTGGGAAAGCCCTTCCCTTTGGTTCTCAATGTGCATGCAGTTTTACCGATCTTTGTTGTTTGACGGGGGCCATCTGTCTGAGTTAAATTGGGGAGCGCAATGTTGAGCACGAAATCATTTGGTGGGGTAGAGGCCGACGTTCTTCCTTAGTCTTCCCCCATGCAGTGGACGGTCCACCTCAGAGGGCCCCGGGAAGAGTCTCACATGAAGGCCACGTCTCGTTTGCATCTGGGGTTGACTGCTCCAGGGCCCCGAGGACACCGACCGGGCACTTGATCTCCCAGAACGTTCATCAGAGAAACGACGAGCATCAGACCGTGATCGACGACGTGTTCTCTGCTGGAGATGGAGAGCGGCAGACAGGCTGATTCACGCAAAGTGAGTGTCTGATGTGCTGCTGCCAAAGCCCTTGGCATCAGAATTGTTTCTGCGGACGCAGCCCGTGTGAGGAAGATGCCCCCTGGCACCTCCCTTAAATCTTTCCTGTTGACATTGCCGACGTGGCATCCTTTTAATAGGTTCCCTGATGTACCTGCCGAAGCTGCTGTCACTCCTTCCGTGCACCATGTCCCGGGAGGTGGAAGGAGGCCACCCCCCC